TCCTCTCCAACTTTCCAAGTGCGGCTGCTCAACCTGATGTCTACAAGTCGCTACCGGATTGGTGTGGATGTTGGAGGTGAGCAATCTTGTGAACCTACTCCGCAAGTTCTCTACTGACCTGGTTTGGCCCATAGGAACGAATACCGACGGAGTTATAATAGATATAACGAAAATGTCAGATCCCTTGACGAGAGGAGTTGTAGCGAGCTTTAAACATGAGACCACTCCAAATGTAACGGACGGGATCGAGGCGGCTGTGAGGAAGGTCATGGCCGACGCAGGTGTCAATCCCCAGGACGGGAAAATTCTCAGCTTGACCATTGGAACTACTGTGCGTAAATTCCACTGTGCCCAGTTCGTTACTCAATATATCTTAGCATTTTATCAATGCGGTCGTTCAAGCTGACGCAAGAAGATTATCGAAAGTCGCTGTCATTCGACTTGCAGCGCCCTACACATTGGAATACCCAACGGTATGTCCTCCCCAATCCCGTTACTTACAGTTTCCAACGATCCTGCAGTTTGTCGACTTTCCCCTGCACCTCAAAGCAATCATGAATGGACATACCGCAGTCATCAAGGGGGGGTTACAAATGTTTGTCCATTCCATGCTGGAATCCTGAATTATGCCCTGAAGTGTCATAGTGATGGTCGTCCAATTAACGAAATTGACGAAGCCGAGGTCATCGAACAAGCCAACCAAATTAAATCCAAGGGCCTCAAGGACATTGTTCTCATTGGTGTCTGTCAGTCTTTAATTTTCTCCTCGCGACATCTCTTCTGATGTACTTTCTGTAGTTTCTCCGTTAGACGTCAATGGTCAGAACGAATATCTAGTGCGCGATATTCTACTGCGGCATCTTGGGCCTGATGTCAATATAGTGTGCTCTCGCGATGGTGCGCCACATTAAATTTAAACACCAGATTCAGCTGACGTTTCCATCCGAGTTGCGCAAGTGGGCTTCATTGAACGCGAAAATGCCTCCATTCTCAACGCTTCCATCGGCGCATTCGCGCAACGTACCGTCCGGGGCTTCCAGAGGGCCATGAGTAAACTCGGACTCGTCTGTCCTCTATACCTTACCCAGGTTGGATTTGGATTTGCCCCACCGCAGCAGGGACTTATTCGAATTTAGAATGACGGAACGCTCACAAGCGCGGCGGATGCTGCCCGGCTTCCTATTCGAACCTTTTCGTCCGGTGCCACCAATTCCATGCGCGGTTCGTCAAGCACATTATCTCGAGTCCACTTCTAACAAAACACAAATGAAGGTGCTTCATTCTTGGCAGGAATCGACATAAAAAAAACAGAGGAAGGGTCGGCAAAGAGTATGATCGTAGTCGACGTTGGTGGAACCACGACCGACGTCGGTGTACTCCTTCCCAGCGGATTTCCAAGGCAGGCAGCCGCGTTCATCGAAGGTTCGTCTGGTCCAGATTTGAATACAGTCGGGTTTGACCAACAAGTCTAGTCGCCGGCGTTCGAACAAAGTTCGTGATCCCCAAAACGGGTTGGGTTCGCGATTTAACCGTAGCTCCAGCTTTTCGATGCCTGATGTCAATTCCATCGGATTGGGTGGAGGGTCCAGAGTTAGGATAGATGCTGGTGGGCGTGTTACTGTTGGACCAGATTCCGTTGGTCATTATGTTGGTGGTTTCCCTCGCTCTTTCTTCCCCTGCTGACGCATTGCCTTATACATAGTTGACTCGTGATGCGAAAGTCTTTGGAGGCAAAGTTCTGACAACTACCGACATATGTGTGCGTTCCGGTGCTGGAGGTATCGGTGTGGCCACCAAAGTCGCCGATGTCGCTGATGAAGTGGTAACTCAAGCTAAGGTCGTAATGAAGAAGCTGCTCGAGGTTTGTTCAGAATCCCTCATGCGATGGCGAGTCCCGATTGAAAGGATTCTGTCAGAACGTCATCGATCGCATGAAAACCAGTCCCGAGGACTGCACAGTCTTGCTTGTTGGCGGTGGTTCCATCATTGTACCCCCTGAGCTCAAAGGTGTCAAAGAAGTCATGTGGGTCGTTTCCACCGACTCCCCGTCGGTACTTGAACTAACCATGCACAACAGTCTGCCGCCGTTCCATAGCGTAGCGAATGCTGTTGGTGCTGCCATCGCCAATGTCTCCGGAAACATCGACACTATTGAAGTATTGCAAGGCCAGAAACTTCCCGATGTGCTTGAACGTATCAAATCGCTCGCCATAGAAAAGGCTGTTGCAGCTGGAGCTGAACCTGCAAGTGTTTCTATTGCTGAAATCAATGTCCTTCCCGTCCAGGTGCGACCATTCCCCCCCGCCCTCGCACTTTCTCATTTGTACACTTGCAGTATGTGACCAATCAGGCAACTCGAATCATCGTGAGGGCTGTTGGGGAGCTCGGGATTCCCGACGAGTCTTCGGCACTCAAACCCGACATCGCATATCACTCCGATCTAGAGGAAGAACCAGAATCGACCCAAGAGATCATTCTGGACGGGAGCGACGGTGCGACAGGGATCGATTACCAGTCGTACAGGCCCGAGATCGTGGGTAATGATTGGATTTTGAGCGAGACCGATTTGTGTGAGTATTTTGCTTTGTTATATTCCACCGTTTCTCACGTTTCTTGTCAGTCTTTATCCAGGAAGGATGTGGGGTCCTCGGGACGGTAGGTTATGATTATTATTTAAGAAAACCCTAAAATCAATTTATATGCAGGGCGGAGGCGGGAGTCCGTATCCGGCGTATTTAAAGACAAGACAAATGCTCCGCGAGGGCAAAGTGCTTCGCATTGTTGACCATTTATCGCTGGCAGGTGACGCGGTCCTTACCCGTGGAGGTACGCGTCTCTCCTTGCCAGTTTAACATCTATTCTTACTTCCATCCAGGCTACATGGGCTCGCCTTCAGTCGGCTCCGAACGCCTCATGCCCGGTGCCGCTATTATGGAGGCGGGGGCAGAACTAGCGAAGTACTGTGGTGTGAGCAGTTTTGCCGCGACACTGTGGTTCGTTGACCATACGAGTTAAAGGATGAACAACTGCTAATATCATTCCAGCGATGAAATCGGGGGTGGCAACGGTATGCAGTCGTTGGTCATGTCTGGTTCCTATGGAATACCCGCTTTCGACGGTGATCTCATGGGCCGCGGTGGGTTCTCTGTATATGTGGAAAAAGTTACATGCGGCTTATGCAAATACTTCAGCGTATCCCAAACTCAATCAAATTCTGCCAGGTCCGTATCGCTGTCACAGATGCCTTGACCGGAAATCTGAAAGTTTGTGCAGCCGTGTACGATCGGCCAAATGCGTATGTTTTCCGGCGCACGTTAGTCTACAAGATTAACGGTGTGTTGAAAGGCTCATCCCTTCTGCATTGTGCGACGGCGATAACAACATCATCGTGCGTGTCGCAATAAGACGCCGGTCTCGCACTGACATATCATACCTAGCTCCTCACCAAAGTGAAGAATGAGCATCTGGTTGAAACGCTGATGCGTACAGTAACCACTGAAATGGGGTCTTCGGCGGCTTTGTGCTGTCCCCCACTAGCGGTCAGTGACGCCGTCAGGTACGGTGTCCCCCGTACGCAAAGCCAGGCATGGAGAATAGGCAGAGCTATCTCCATATGTCGGCAAACCAAGTAAGATGTCGTTTTGAGCGTGGACTATAACTGAGCGTCGTTTTAGTAACATGAAGGGTGTGCCCGACGCAATCCTGCAGCTGCAAAACGGGGTATGTCTCTTCATCGGCAAGATCGTCAGCTGTTCGCGGGCAAGTACATCCCCAGAACCAAGAACTCAGCTAACCAGATGAAACAGGAAGTCCGAGCGGGTTTCACGTGGGGGGAGATCCGAATTGCTCAACTGCTCGACGAAGAGCTGGAGGGCCCTGCCACATCCGTCACAGCCGACCCCGGTGATCATATGGTCATTCCATTTCAAAACGAGAATCTGGCTGCTTACATCGAGCGGGATGGATCCAAAAAGGTATTTCTTTCCATCGGACACGATGTTCTAACACTGACGACACTACTTCAGCTAGTGGCAATTGTTCCCGACTTAATTTCGGTCCTGGACTCCCAAAGTGGATCTAACCTTGGATCGCAAGATTGTGAATTTCGTTTCCTTCCGTAATTTTCCCCCAACTGACCGCCTTCCCATGCGATAGACAGCTACGGTCTTCGAGTCACTGGTATTTTGTCTGCTTACTACAACTGACCCTCTTCGCTAACATTATGCAGTGATTGCGATGGCCGGATCCCCTCTTTGGAACTCAGAAGCAGGTTTACGAAGCGGCGGCCCTGCCGCATTTGGGTAAACTAATCAGCTCGGGCTTGCGATGGTTGCTTACCCCTTCGCCAGCTTTGATCATGAATTCGTGCCCGTTGGCGAGTACATGACACCCCGCTCGGTCATTGAGGAATATAGGCAGTAGACACGTATAAGCGGGAGGGCCCAGTGTCGTCGATCGGTGCTCACTGGACATAAGTTTTTTTCCTGCGGTTCCAATATCATTAGTGATTGGTATCAAATCCGGGGTCGAGTTGTGATTCTACGTATAGGTGATTGAGAAATGAAGATCCAAATCAGAAGTCGTGTACAATATCCAGGGACATATGAAATGAGCAGTGGATAACTGCTACAAGGTGACGATCAAATATCGGGCATACTCAGCTCAATATATTGTCGCGATTCCTCGCTTTGACCGAATGCCGCCTCGGCACACCGTCGGCATCCCTTCGGCAGTGACTGTCCAGTGTCATTGTCAATACTCCGCTGCAAGTCGGTTCAATGAAACGGCGACCCTTCTGCACTGCGCACATACTGAACTGGAGTCCTGCCTAGTACTACCCTTTCAATGTATCTGTCTCGTTCATCCAGTTTGAAGGACGTCTTGGAATCAACGGCGAAAATTTTCCTCGTTTTGTCCTTAGTACTGTACGTTCACTAAAAATGAAAAGAAAGGACGTTCTTCTCCGTCTGAGGAAAGAAGAAGAAGAAGCAAAAAGGACGTGCGCCGGCCGGGAGTCGAACCCGGTGCTAGGCCATTCGAGTTCCGTAATACTACAGAGCTGAATGGGAAGACCCAATGTTACCGATACACCACCGGCGCCACGAGAGACAAAGATGAAGGGTGAAATAGATCATAGTCAGATACTTTCTCAAAGTAGTGCAATGCAATGGCAATGCCTTTAAGCTTTTATCCAACTTTTATCTCAAACAGCGGCTGGGCACCGCTGGGGACGCTGCGTAGGAATGCAATACTGCCGCTTGCGGGACCGGATTTTGCCAGAATAGTCTTGAGGCACTACGCTCCACGCACGAGCCGCCAAATCCAGGGTCTGGTGTCGTGCACGGAGCATGACCATTCAGAATGGGCCTGCATGGCCAGGACGTCTATTGATATATTTTCGTAGTCTTGGACTGCCAGAATGAATGAGTGCGATTAGATGTGTCGTATGTACAGTCAGCATAGTCTCTCTAGGCAGACCATAATATCAAGATTTTGTTTTTTAGATTTTGGGAGGGGAAAAAAACCAGATATATGGTGCAGTCAGCATGCGTTGTGCTTTCTGCACCACGAGAATTAAACAATGTGTTGAGGATGGGGGCCATGGCTGCTGACATCTGGAGGGACAAATTGTTTGAAAGATTGAGCATACACCGTTGAAAGAACACGCACACATGTCTTTATTCTGCTGCACCATCCCTGCAGCACGCGCCCAGTAGTCTGCTGCTCCTCTAACTCCGAGATCCCAGTCTGCAACATAATTGTCCAGTCGCATCATCACAAACCGGACGTCTCGTGGGACGGGATGGATGGGTGGGGTGTCCATCGTCAAGAGGACAACAAGGATGCGCAGAGATTTGCACTCTTGAAGAGCAGCTTGACACACGATGGAAGTGACATGGTCGAAGGAGAGCTGGGAGAGGTGGGGGATCTGTGTCAGCGCGCTCCACTGGAACCATTCATGGGCCCGATCCATGATGTGAAGGCGCGTCAAGTGCTGGAAGAAGGGACGGCCGAAAGGGATTTGCGTAGTGGGTGCGAACAGACCGAGCCCCCTCAGAGAGAGGCGCTCTAATCGCAGGGGCTCCAGCATGGGCAGCAGATCGGGCGGGACGAAGAAGGGTAACTGGAGGTCGGTGATACCAGTAAACACTGGCAGTGTCTCCCAGACCAACTCGCGACCGCCGCCGGGGAAGATTGGCTCAAGGCGAAGGTGGCGGACATGGCTAGCAAAGAAGGCGGGCGGTCGCGAGGCAAGGAATCGTGTGAGCGGGTCGTCCATATAATCGAGGCGTCGAAGGCGACCGGAGACGACCTGGTCATTGTGAAAGGTGACGACGCCGGGGTGGGTAAAGTGGAGGCGGCGGTAGAGGAAAGGCTCAAGTCTGTTCGGGGGTTGTGTATAGTCCATATTGCACAGTAACAGTGAGACGCACAGCTGATGGAACCGGCGAGCAACAAGGATGAGGGCTGGAATGAGTTGCGGGTGGACGAAAGCGGTCGTCTCAAAAATTTCAAGCTCAAGCTCAGCGGGGACGGGTGGAAAAGCGCGAATTGTGGCCATTTTTCTCGTCCTTGAAATCGTCTTGACCAAGTCTTGACTTGTGCTGAATGACATCGTGACATCATAGATATATCTAGACTTCCTTCAAGTTATTCTTGAGTTACAGCTATCTCGAAAACGATAGACTATTTTCGTTTTCGAGCAAAGTTCGGCGACACCGACGTTGTGCCAAATTTAGACACTCTCGTTGTCTCCAAGTCGTCGCGAAAATTTTGGTCTCTCGTCGCGACGGCCACAACCTCTCCGCAACTTAAGCTGCATGATGAACTGTCTTGCCAGTAGTGGTAGAAGGAAAGAAGAGTGTGAGGAACTATGACGTTAAAATGTCCCGAATTGGATGATCCGCCGTGCCGAACGACTGCCGAACTTTGCAAAATTGTCTACAGTATCGTTTTCGAGATAGCTGTACTTAATCGGGGCAGGCGGATGAGTCGTTCATGCAGCGGAGTTCGAAATGTCGCTCTCTCCCGTACCACGACATGGCCGCTTACCTGGCCGCTCACACCTGGCTCTTCTCCCCCTCTAGTTGATGGCTTCTGCATGGCTTCACGTACTCCTGTCCACCTCCCCGTGCTCCTGACCAACTCTCGCTCTTTCCTCCCATCCCTGCGCTCACGTCACCTGCAACTCATATCGGCCCCCGCTCTGACCGCTCCTCAAGTCTTCACGCTGCGCTTTAAGCTTGTTCCCCAAATCCTCGTCGCAGCACGGTTGTTCGTCAAGTCGCTGAACCTCGGTCCCTACGCGCAAGGTCAACGCTCCCCGGGCAAGACCAAAGCTCCCTTGCAAGATCAAGCCTCCCTGCGCAAGATCAAGGCTCCCGCGCAGGATCAAGGGTCAAGGGTACCTACGCAGGATCGTGTGTCTCAATTCACCCGCGCGCGCGTACTAGGGTCACCCAAACATACTCTCAAGGTGCGCCACGCCTCAAGCGGAGACGAGAACATCTTGGGTACTCTCCAGACTGCTTTTGAGCTTCGCCGTCGCAGGGTCTTGTTTCGCGCTCTTTTCGCTTAGTCCTTATTGGCAATTCGCCGTCGCTATCATTCCTCGCCCTCGTACCCGCCCTCCATCCATTCTCGCCGCGGTTCGCAGGAGATCGTCTTTCGTGCGAAGCCAACGAGACAAGGCATGTCGTCGTGTGCGCACATCGCCTCGTTTGTAGCTACTGGACGGGAGCGCTGCGCATGTGCGCATGCAGCGGGTGCGGCGCGCGCAAGACGCCGAGCTTCTCTGCTCATCTCAGTGTTTCTCCTCGGCGCCGTGGGTCAACTGCAGCCACCACTCTTTCACGCGATCATCGCAACTCAGCGGGACGTCCCGCTCGCCCCGCTTCCCGCGATCGCGCGGCGTCACCGCGGTGCCCCGCGCTGCTCGCGCGCAATGGCCTCTCCGTCCAGCGCGTAGTTATGATGAGCGACGAGAAGGACGCGGCGTGGTGGGCCGCCGCGCGTGCGACGGCCACGGGCGCTAGCGCACCAGCGAACCGAGCGCGCGCGTGTGTGTGGACAACGGGCGGTGCGCACACGGCTTCGCGCCAGGTAGGCTCGGGGGCGGGTCGGGCTAGAGCGCGAAGGCGAAGACCCTGCGACCCGCGGCGATGCTTAGAGAAAACGGGAGCGGGAGGCAGCGGGCGTAGCAGCCAAACTTGTATATTAATAGACGTGCAATAAAAAAATTAGACCACTCGATACAGCGCGACACAAAACAGCCAAATTCCCATTATTGCTAGGTCTGGCACTGTATCGCGTAGTCTTGAGATTTTTTCCAAGGCTACGAGATATCGCCCGATATGGCCGATACCGGCCTGGGTTTTCTTGCAAAGGTAGGATCAAAATTTGCGTACACTTTCATAAGGTTGTTCGAGTTCCGTAATACTACAGAGCTGAATGGGAAGACCCAATGTTACCTATACACCACCGGCGCCATTGGACACGGGCAGGATGGCTGGCCGCTGAATTAATTTTGATTTAGACTCGATCCGATTGGTCTCTCTCTGTTTTCGGCCTTTTTCGGCTCACTCTGCTTCATGTATTTGCACCATCTTGGTCGCTGGACGCGGGGTTATGCTACCACTGTTGGTGCTGGCCCGCGCGTACCTCAGACAGTCATCGAAAAGGTCGTGCAAAAGTATGCCGTGGGGCTTCCTGCAGGCAAGGCGGTCAAAGCGGGAGACTATGTCATGATAAGCCCCGAGCATGTCATGACCCACGACAACACTGGCCCCGTCATATCCAAGTGTGTCTAGTGCAGTTCGTCCCTGAAAATTTTCTCAACATTTCCGTCTCCAGGTTCAAGTCGATTGGCGCAACTCGCGTCAAGAACCCTGTACAACCAGTGTTCACCCTCGACCACGATGTGCAAAACCGGTCCGCGAAGAACCTTTCGAAATACGCCTCGATAGAGGAGTTCGCCCGGCAGCATAAAGTCGACTTTTATCCTGCAGGGCGCGGCATCGGACACCAAGTTTTGGTCGAAGAGGGCTACGCGTTCCCGCACACCCTCACCGTCGCGAGCGACAGCCATAGCAATATGTATGGCGGCGTGGGGTGTGTCGGAACGCCCATTGTCCGCACAGACGCAGCAGCTCTCTGGGCAACTGGCAAAACATGGTGGCAAGTTCCACGGATGGTCAAGGTCGAATTGCGAGGAAAACTCGCTCCAGGTGTCACGGGCAAGGATGTTATAGTTGCATTGTGTAGCTCCTTCAGCAATGACGAGGTTCTCAATGCCGCGCTGGAGTTCACGGGTGACGGGGTGGGCACCTTGTCCGTCGACGAGCGCCTCACGATAGCCAACATGACTACGGAGTGGGGCGCTCTGGTTGGCGTGTTTCCGGTGGACGAAACATTACTTCAGTGGTACGATCGGGTCTTGGCCAAACTCGAGCTTCGGACATTTTCGTCGCCAGAAATGGCTGCTTTAATTCCAGCCCCACCCGAGCACCCTCGTATCAATCGCCGCCGTCTCGATACCCTTCGTTCTACGAACTTACAATCGGATCCCGATGCAGCATACTCATCGCACCTTATATTCGACCTCTCAACTCTTGTTCCCCACGTTTCTGGTCCCAACAGCGTTAAAATATCCACTCCCCTTCCCACTCTGGAAGAGTCGCGCGTTGCGATCCAGAAGGCTTACCTTGTAAGCTGCACCAACTCTCGCGTCTCCGATATTGCCGCAGCTGCAGCTGTAATGCGGGGAAACAAGGTTGCTCCGGGTGTCGAGTTTTACATTGCCGCTGCCAGTTCAGTCGTCCAGCAGGAATCCGAGAGACTTGGGGACTGGGACGCCTTGATCCTGTCAGGGGCTAAAGTCCTTCCTGCTGGGTGTGGCCCATGTATTGGGCTGGGCACCGGGTTGCTCGAGGAAGGACAAACAGGCATTAGCGCCACGAACCGCAATTACAAAGGACGGATGGGTCACCCGAAGGCATTGGCTTACCTTGCGAGCCCAGCTGTTGTTGCCGCGAGCGCTATTAAAGGGTACATCTGTGGCCCTGCCTCTGTCGATCCTTCTGCGCTCCCGCCTGTAAAAG